GAGAGACAACTTCTCATCTGGAAGGGCGGGAGTGGGAGGTAGAGCCGGCTCTAATTCATCCCAGGGTGGAAGCTCACGAGTAACACATTCCTGCAGCCTTTCCCAAAGCCGGAAGGAGGGTTGGACCAGAAGCCACAGGGAAATCCCTGGGATACCCTGCGCTTTCCCGGCTCGACTGCTGTCTAAGTGGGAACACCAGGACCCCACGGTGAGCGGGAACAGCTGAGGTTTCATCATGCAGGCTGAGGTTAGATGACGGCGCTCACAGCACCACCCCACCGGGTTCAGGAGTATCTGCGAGCTCTGCAGGCCATCATGCCCACCACCCACCACACAGCCAGACCTGGTCCTAGTCAGCTGTAGTCCTTACCTCTCTCCCCCACCCCCTCCACGCTCTCCCTCTCCATTTTCACTTGTCAGTTCTCCGTCCAGACCATTTCCCCTGTTTCCCTCTCTCAGCTCAGACTCTGACGCCATGGTCTGGCTCAAGGCCCTTGTCCTTCACAAAGACTTCCCAGACTGCAGGGATGCGTGGGTCCGCCCTCTGCTGTGTCACCTTACAGTGTGTGCCAATCCTTCCCATGGCCTCCTTGTCTCTTACTCAGACAAGTCACTCAGTATTTCCAGGCTTCAGCTTCTTCCTCCATAAAATGGGAAGAATAGCAGCATCTCCAAGCACACAGCGCAGTTCTGAAGGCTGATTGTCACAGCACAAACTAAAAGTATTTCCCACTTAGAGTCCCAGGGTGTATGTGATAAATGCCACTTCCACTAGTGTCTGGGTCAGAGCAGGGCCCGTGGTAGGTGCTCAGGTAACTTTCTGCTCTGCCAACAAGCTCCTGGAGCTCCCTGGACAAATAAGGCACCTTAGATAGAAGGTGCTTGCATATCCATTTTATTGCTGGCTCTGTGGTCTATGAAAATAGAACAAAGCAAATAATACACTTAAGGCCAGAACTAGAGTGTGATATGGGGGCCCCTGGGTGAGTCCGTCGGTTAAGCGTCCAACTTAATTTTGCCTCAGGTCACGATCTCAGGGTTCATGAGTTGGAGGCCTGTGTCAGGCTCTGTGCTGATAGTGCGGAGCCTGCTTGGGATCCTTTCTTTCCTCTTTCTGCCCCTCCCTTCCCCTCTCTCAAAATAAATAAATTTTTAAAAATAGAGTGTGGTTGGGACATTCTTGAGTGATGTACACATGTTCTGAAAAGACTCTAAAAAAAATTTTTTTTTAATGTTCTATTTATTTCTGAGAGAGACAGAGAGACAGTGTGAGCAGGTTAGGGTCAGAGAGAGAGGGAGATACAGAATCTAAAGCAGGCTCCAGGCTCTGAGCTAGCTGTCAGCAGACCTGAAAAAGACTCTAGATTTCTCAACAAGAAGAAAAGTCTATACAAAGAGTCCCTAAGGGAAAAAAAAGTTTGAAAAGAGAGGGAGAGATATTTGGGGGTTCTTTAACTAAATCTTAATATTTTGGTTTGGCAACACGACTTGTAAGTTTAAAGGGGAGATTAAAGTGCTTTGGGCATGGTGCTTGCCATACTCAATTCTAATCCTCACAGCTACTTCACACGGTTTACATTTTCTCCATTTTATAGCTGAGGAAAAAGAAGGTCAGAGTATATGTCTTACTCCAAGCCACAGGGCAGAGCTGAGAATCGAGCACAAGTCACCCAACACCCAAATCCTCCTCCCTCACTCCATTGGGAGAAACAGCCAGGCAGGTAGCTCTCCACTGGCCACTTGTAGGCAATGTTCCGTGTGAGTCGCTGCTGCCCCCCTCCAGCAGCTATCACAGAGGAAGTCCACTTCTGCTGGATGGACCCCTGGGGCGCCAGTGTTTCATTTGGAAAAAAAAAAAAAAAAGTATGTAATAACTCCATGGTTCTACAATCCACACAGTCTTCCTAAAGCCTGAGGTGAAAACACAAACTCACCAAGTTTCCCTCTCTCCTCTCAAGTTTTAAAGTCTTCCCTCTGTGCTAATATGCGGTTGCTGATTTTTTTTTCTTCACGGTTCAAAAATTCCTAGTTAGGTATTTTTTTAATAACATCTCAGTGTACTAACCAGCTTTTTCATATGCATTTTGCCGTTTCTAGGACGTCAGGAGTAGATGCCCTCCAGCAGCTGCTAAATACCACAGTTCATGCTCTAGGAGGGTTATGGCTGCCGCCTCTGTTCTCTATATTCTTTAAGCCTCCTCCCCTCACTCCAGCGAGCTCAACCTTTCACAGCTCAAGGCAGGCTGTGTAGCCCCTTTCTTCTTAACCCTTTAATCAATCACTCCACAGATGTGCTTTTTTTTTTTTTTATTTATATTTCTAATAATGCTATTATTTATTACACTTAATGGCTTTTTTTGCTTCAATGTTCTTGAATGGTAACCTTCATTTTTCTGTATCTAGGGATCTTTTATTTTTTTTTTTGTTTTTTATTTATTTATTTATTTTTTTTACAAATAGTTTATTGTCAAATTAGTTTCTACATAACACTCAGTGCTCATCCCCAAAGTGCCCTCCTTCATGCCCATCCCCCCCTCCCCCCCACATCCATCAGTCCTCAGTTTTTGTCAGCATTCAAGAGTCTCTCATGGTTTGCCTCTCTCCCTTTCCCCCACCATTTCCGCCCTTCTTCTCCCCCTTGGTCCTCCGTCAAGTTCCTCCTATACGTGCAAACATATGGTATTTGTCCTTCTCTGCCTGACTTATTTCGCTCAGCATAACACCCTCAAGGTCCATCCATGTTGCTACACATGGCCAGATTTCATTGTTTCTCATTGCCATGTAGTATTCCATGGTCTAGATAAACCACATCTTCTTGATCCATTCGTCTGTTGATGGACACTTAGGCTCTTTCCATGTTTTAGCTATTGTGGAGAGTGCTGCTATGAACATTGGGGTACATGTGCTCCTATGCCTCAGCATTTCTGTATCCCTTGGGTAAATTCCTAGCAGTGCTATTGCTGGGTCCTAGGGGAGTTCTATTGTTAGTTTCCTGAGGAACCTCCACACTGTTTTCCAGAGGGGCTGTACCAGTTTACATTCCCACCAACAGTGCAGGAGGGTGCCCGTTTCTCCACATCCTCGCCAGCATCTAGAGTTCTCTGATGTGCTCATTTTAGCCACTCTGACTGGCGTGAGGTGGTATCTCAGTGTGGTTTTGATTTGTATTTCCCTGATGAGGAGGGATGCTGAGCATCGTTTCATGTGTCTGTTGGCCAACAGATGTGCTTTTTAATATTCCAACCTCTTCCCAGTGCAGGAAATCAAGTGAAAAGATCATTTTAGGATTGCATCTTTACCTCCAAATTCCCTTTACTAAAAATCTTTGGTAGTTGGCTTTAAATTTTCTTTAGATATGTGTAATTTTCACTGAAAAGGCTCCCAATAAAATTCACATCTTCGATTTGACAGAAAAGTGGCCCTTAGGCACAAATTAAGGCACAGTGATTTAACAAGCCTCTTGTCTAACCTCCAGCCACCCCCCTGCCCTACCTCATTCCCACTGCCTTAAATCTCCCATAATTAGTAAAAGCAGCCACCATTTATTAAGGATCAAGCCGTGCAGACACTGAGAACTTTGTTATCTCAGATGGTCCCCTCAGCAAACTGAGGAGAAATCAGAAGTTTGAGGGTTTCATGAGTTGCCTCAGGTCACTCAGCAAGTGAGTGTGCAAGCGAGGCAGCGAGGATTTGAACCTAAGTCTGACACCAGTGTTCTCCCTCTAATCATTACACAATGCCACTTTCATCACAAAATAGTTTCTATCCTCCTAAAATAAGCACTTTTTCCAGCTTGTGCTTCAAGATGGCTACCACAGCAGAAAAACCCAGAAGGCCCTCTGCTAGGTCAACATGTTTTTACTACAAAAGGAAGGGGAAACAGAAAAGGGGGGGTGGGGGCAGAGGTCCTCAAGAGTGCTTTCACCTCTGGCCTCTCGCCTCCTATTAGAGGTCAGATGAGCAATCCCTGGAACAAGGGGAATGAATTTGTGCTCAGTTTCCCACTCATGTGTTTCCATCCCTGACTGGCAAGAAAGAGCTGATGTGACAAGACTTGAGTTGGAAGAGAAGGCGACATGGCTCCAAGTCTGTATTAATTAACCACTGCCTCCTCTTGGCATTTCTTTGCTGGCCCCCTCACCCTAGTCGGTGAGTCATGACGTGAGGACAAGATTCCAGGGGGGTGAATACCACAGCTGCACCGCCACGAACCAGAAATGACAGGGCACAGGTGGTTAGCAGCCTTCTTTCCCCGTGCGTCTCCCCTCCCACACACCAGCAGTGCGTCTCTAACTAAGGGGAGCACAAGCATTGTCCCAGAACAGAGCAAGAACCTAGAATGTGTGTCTGAGGAAGCACAACCAGCCACTTAAAACTAAAGCCTTCACCCCTCCATCACTATAGCGTATACGAAGACTCAGAACGTTTACCTTTGCTGAACTTTTTTTTTAATATTTGTTAATTTTTGAGAGAGAGAGAGAGAGAGAGACAGATCATGAGTGGAGGAGGGACAGAGAGAGAGGGAGACACAGAATCTGAAATAGGTTTCAGGCTCTGAGCTGTCAGCACAGAACCCAACACGGGGCCCGAACTCACGTACTCCAAGATCATGACCTGAGCAGAAGTCGGACGCTTAACCGACTGACTGAGCCACCCTGGTGCCCCACTTTTGCTGAACTTTCAAACTGAAATACTTCATTACACTTGACAGCATAACCGACACGAACAACCTAGTTCTTCCCCACTTGCTTCATGAGGCCCACTTTAAAAAAAACCAAAAAGCATTATTAATGGTCAAGAGATTCCAACAGACTTTGCCTGCCAAGATTTATTTGGCAGAGGAAAGATACTCCATCTCCTGAAACGTAGGTTTAAAAGTCAGTTCCAACCTTCATTTTGCTGAACATTTCACCAACTCCCTGGAGGGAAAAATCACAACTCTGTGCAAAACCAGCATTTTAAAAATGAAGTCTCCGTGCTCAGTTTTCTCATGCACTTACCTTCAGTGTTGGAAGTGATGACGTCTTCCACTCCTAACACTTGCCTCCCTTGACCCAGTGGAATACTGTGAGCTGGCGAGGGATAGTGTAGAACCACCTTTCCCTCGGGGCGGGCTGGAGGAACGTCCACTTCTGACGGTGGTGCCCCTCCAAGTGTGGAGGGGTTGATGCTTTTGTTTTCAGGGTACGGAGGCAGGGTTCCCTGGGAAGGATCCAGTGACTCTCCTTCTATCTCTGATGGAGCCGGGCCTCTGGTCCCTGGCTGTTCAGATGACTCAACGTGGCCATTTAAATCTCGGGTGTCCATCCCCCATGGAGGTCTTGCCTCTTTGGGTTGAGGGTTCAAGGTGGCAGATTCTGTTTCTGGGTAGAATGGCAAATTACTAGTGGCCAGATGCGGTGAAGGGGAGGCCAGATCAGAATTTGGCGGATACATTCCACCCCCTAAGGGTCTTGACTCAGCTTTCGATTGGAAGGAAACATCAACACTGCTGTGGCCATTCAGTGCTTCCTCTGGTTCACTCGGTGGGTATTCTACACCCCCCTCATTCTCATCATAATAATCCAAATTGTCCTCAGTGTAGTCACTTTCCAGGACTGCAGGGAGGCTGGAGGAATGCTCCGGAGGGGCTGAGGAGTGGCCTTTGGCGAGGTCTCCTCCAACTGTTGCTGGCCTGATATTGTCCGGTTGCGGGGTGCTGCTGCTGCCAATATGAAAAGCCCACACTCCAGGGGCCCCCAGGTTGCTTTGTCTAAATAAAAAGGAAACGGTGCATGACCAAAGTGTCCATTCATTCACCCACAACCCTACAAAGGTGAGCAATTTATTTTATTTTTTTTAATATAATTTATTGTCAAATTGGTTCCATATTAGAGTAATTTATTTTAAAACCTAAGCACTGTTAAGATCAGATTCATAGTTTTCACCAGTGTATAAAACCACATAAAACCAGGCTTATGTTATAACTAAAAGGATTATACTGGAATTTTGATGTAAACTGCCTTTTACTCAGGATTAGCTTTCAGAATGCTGGGCCATCAAATTAGAAACCTTCTCTAAGGGGCTCCTGGGTGGCTCAGTCAGTTTGGCCTCCAACTCTTGATGTCAGCTCAGGGCATGATCTCTCTCAGTTTGGGAGTTTGAGCCCCATATCAGGCTCTGCGCTGACAGTACAGAACCTGCTTGAGATTCTCTCTCTCTCTGCCCCTTCCCCATTCTCTCTCAAAAATAAATAAATAAACATTTTAAAAAAGAAACCTCTAAAATTTATGTGTTTTATCTAAAATCTGGCTATCTGAAAACAAATAGAGAATGCAGGAATATTTTATACTTCCTCTACTTTTAACACACTTAGGAAAATGTATGCTTATACATCTTTGCCAAACATTTATTTTTTTTAAATGTTTTTTTTATTTATTTCTAGGAGAGAGAGAGAGAGCAGGGGGGGGTTCAAAGAGAGAGGAGAGGGAGTCACAGACTGAAACAGGCTCCAGGCTCTGAGCTGGCAGTCAGCACAGAGCCCAACGCGGGGCTCGAACCCACAAACCGCGAGATCCTGACCTAAGCGAAAGTTGGACGCTTAACCGACTAAGCCACCCAGATGCCCCATTTTGCCAAACATTTAAAACAACAATGACTACAACGTACTTTAGAGAGTTAGCGATGTACCAAGTGCTTAATGTTCTTCAGTACAATCTACAAGGTAGGGGCTGTTGTTATGTCCAATTTTACAGCGGTGAAAATAGTTTAGAGAGGCTAACCAATCTTAAGGTCATACAACTAATAACTGGCAAAACTTGGACATGAATTCACCACTAACACCAAAGCACATACTCTAAATATCTACATTATGTCAGAAAGACCAATATACTGGAGTCAATCAGCATGTGAATGATCACTGGTCTTCAGAATGTTACAGACATTTTACTGTTTAATCACATGGATTAATCAATAAACTAATTCACATAGAATTGTGAGTCAATGTAAGAAAACTCAAAGAAATATAAATGCCCAAGTGTAAAAAATGTTGAGCAAATGCAGAACAAAGTTAAGGGAAATATAAGAAAGTAGTTTCTGGGGCACCTGGGTGGCTCAGTCCATTAAGCATGTAACTCTCAATTTCATCTCAGGTCATGATCTCACTCATGGTTAGTGGGATCAAGTCCCACGTCAGGCTCAACACTAACAGTGCAGAGCCTGCTTGGGATTCCCTCTCCCTCTCCTCCTGTCCCTTCCCTGCATGTGCACATGTACTCTCTCTCTCAAAATAAATAAATAAACTTAAGGAAAAAAAGAAAATAGTTTAATAAAAATGCCATAGGTTATAGTTATAGGTGAGTGGTGTTCAAAAACATCTGGACCAGAGAGGTCACGTGTTTTCTTTACTAGAAAAGAACATGGACCCCATTCAGTTTTCTAAATGTCCCAAGGACCCATTATTTTAGTCAATGATACATTCTAAAGAGAACTACATAAAAGATTTGTAAAAACAAACAAACAAACAAACAAACAAAAACTAAAACAAACAAACAACAACAAAAACTTGAACAAACAAGGGTCTGGCTAGCTTGAATGCACAGGTTTCTGTACTCCTCTGGTGTATGTGCGAAATACCAACCTCAAAGTCCTCCCTCTTATCGAAGAAATTATGAGGGTCAATGAGGCATAAGAGTTAATTAAGAGAATAATAAGTTAATCAAATCGTCATAAGAACAAGAGACCCTTGCTCATTTGGATAGGAACTCATCATGTTCACATGGATTTCCATAGCAATAATAATTCCAGTACAATTCTAATAATGTCTCCTTCCTTCCTTACCTGTCAATCCCTTGCCTCTTTCTCCCTCTTCCCCTCTCCACCTTCCCTCTCCCTCTTTCTATCCTGTGTGGGTGTGTGTGTGTGGTGGTGGTTATTTCTGCTGCTGCTGCTGTGATAGTTACTTTAGGGAAAGAGGAGCAGAGAAAGCAAAACTGTGATCTCTCATGCAGCATGCTATGTATGCTTGGTACGTTCTAAGATTCAATGCTTGTGTTTTTCTGGCAAGCAAATAAGGAACACTTTAGTAAGAAGAGAAAATCCTGAGATCTGAGGATACTCAGTTTACTATTGCATCAGAGGTGTTGCAGCTGTGAAATTTCTTCTTGAAGTTAGAAAAACTATAAAAGCTTCAAAGACTAGGAAAATACAAATTATGGCAAAAACAGCTAAATAAAATAACCTTCTAATGAAATACAAATCACTATCCTGGTTTTTGTTGTTGTGAGTGATGGGAAAGTAACCCATTTGAGTTTATCCTAAAATCAGACGTCATTTGGAAAGCTGAGAGAGAGAGAAAATTTAATTTTTTTTCTAGAAAGGTAAACAAGGCTACAAAGTGAAATGACAGTGCCTTCCTCCCTGGATTGTTAGGAGGATTAAGTAAGAACACCATATAGAATGCCTAGCATGCAGCCGTGCACATGATTAGTACTTAGCAATTACTGTCTTTAAGGAGACAGCAAAGTATAATTTCAAAAAACACAAATGTGTGCACTCACATTTAAATTTGCAGAAGAGGAGTTATGCCAAATACACTATGTCAAATACATTACGAATTAGATAACTCATTACCTTTAAGCTCACAATTATAAGACAAGTTGAGGAAGACACAGATTCCACTGACTAGGAAAATAACTTTATTCTTTAGAGAGGCATGCTGAAGTATTTAGTATTTAGTATTAACACGATGTTTGTGATTTACTTTATTTTTTTTAAATGTTTTATTTATTTCTGAGAGAGAAAGAGAGAGACAGCATGAGTAGGGGAGGGTCAGAGACAGAGGGAGACACAGAATCTGAAACAGGCTCCAGGCTCCAGGCTCTGTCAGCACAGAGCCCTGTCGTGGGGCTTGAACCCACGAGCTATGTGAGATCATGACCTGAGCCAAAGTCAGACACTTAACCGACTGAGCCACCCAGGTGCCCCTTGTGATTTACTTTAAAATACTTAAGCAAAAAAAAAAAAAAAAAAAAAAAAAAAGAATAACATGGCAAAATGTCAACAGCTTCTAAATCTAAGTGATGAGCTTCTGGGTATTCTTTCAGCTATTTTCTCCATTTTTCTGTGTATTTTTGAAAATTTAAATAAGGAAAAATAAAAGAGAAGGTTAAACTGAGGAACATTTCTACAATGGGGAGGTAGAGAAAGCCTTTCTAAGAATAACAAAGGAAAAGAGCACTAACGTTGATGACACTAAACTTCAAGTGAAGTAACTTTAAAGATGAACAACTGGGCAAAAATATTCATAGCATATGAGAAGACTAATACCCTTGCTATGATTTTTCTTATTTATAAGAGCTCTCTGTGCACACCCCAATAAAAAATAGCAAAGGGCATGGGCAGAGAAGTCACAAAGATGGATAATTGGCTATTACACCTATAAAAGGTATAATCAAAGAAATGAGAGTGAGGATCTAATCAAAGAAATCAGAGTGAGGATAAGTACAATTGATACCTATCAGATTCATAAATTTTAACAAGAAAAGAAGCTGTCAATCACAGTTCTATACCATTGGTGAGCATAGAAACTGCACATATATCTGAACGGCAGTTTGTTGATGTACATCAAAGTGTTAAATTCTATCTATCCTTTCTCAGCAGTTCTACTCTTAAGAAGTGATCTTTAGAAGAAATGAGAATCTGAGCAATGTGTGTCATGTTGTTTATAGCAATGATATTTCTAAAAGGAAAAATAAAAAAATAAATTCATCAGTAACTTATTATCTTAACAGTATCATATAAATATGATGTAATGTTCTGTAGGCTTAAAATAATAAAACAGGTATCTTACTAAATGATACCCATAAGACATTGATAAATGGGAAAATGCTGCATGTATAGCAAAAGAACCATTTTGTTTTTAAAATGTCTTTACATAATCCTTAAGTCCTCGAATGACTGGTAATATTGGTTATAGCTTAAAGCAGTTATAATGGGTAATTTGTGCTTTTATTTCACATTATTCTGCATTGTTTGTACTTTATTTTTTATATTAAGTATGGGTTATACTAAAGAAAAATCCTGGGGTGTCTGGGTGGCTCAGTTGGCTAAGTGTCTAACTTCGGCTCAGGTCATGATCTCGCGGTTCGTGGGTTTGAGCCCCGCATCGGGCTCTGTGCTGACAGCCAGCTCAGAGCCTGGAGCCTGTTTCAGATTCTGTGTCTCCCTCTCTCTCTGACCCTCCCCTGCTCACACTGTCTCTCTCTCTCTCTCTCTCAGAAATAAATAAAACATTAAAAAATTTTTTTAAATAAATAAGGAAAAATCCCTCTATCAGTCCCATATCTTTCTGTTCTCAGCAAGCAACTCAGGTTCTTAGGAAGCATCAAAGATACAAATAGGGCTGTGTGTGTATGCAAGTCTGTGTGTGTGTGCATGTGTGTGCACATGTGTAAGTGTGTATGTTCGTTCCAAGGGGTCTTTATCACCATGGTGGGGGAACACAAGTGCTTTCTCCCACAGGCTTTTTGGCCCCCACTGCCTACTGTACCAGGAGTACAGTTAGCACTCATTCCAGTGCTCTGAAGTTCTACCCATTTGTCTGTCTACCCTACCAGAGGGCAGGCTGCTAGTGTGCAGGGCCTGTGTCTCAAACATTTTGCATTTCAAGTGCTTTGCCCACTGTGATCTCTTAATAATGTCTGAGGAGTAGAGAATCTGTGGCCTCCAGAGAAGAGGAGGAAGGTGAAACCAGAGGAGAAAAAGTGAACAGCTAAGTGTTCTCACGTCTGAACTAAAAGGCAGCCTGGATGGAGACCTAAAGATACCCAAGGTTGGTCATAAGACTGGAAAGTGGACCAGAACTCAGCATAACAGAAGTAGTTTGGGACTCCAGACTTGTGCTTGAATTTTGGCTTTGCCACTTACTTACTTTGAGGTTGTAACTTAACTTCCCTAAGCTCATTTATCAAACTGAGAAGACAGTAGAACTTACCTCCCAGGAATCTTTTGAGTTTTAACTAAGACAACTTCTGGAAAGTGTTTTACACAATGTTTGGCAAAACATGTCAGCACTAAGTAATCGTATCTGGTGGTAGGGCTTGCTCTCTGGGAGCTGAGTGGAGCAGATGGCCTGGAAAGTGTAAGGTGCACCAGCGCCCAGGAATAACATAACGGGAGGGTACGTAACCAACGTGAGGAAAAGTGTTCTGCCTGGACTCTAGCCCAGTATTTGGGAAAGGAATAAAAGCAAAGACATGTTTTACAAGACCTGCAATTAATAAACATCAACTGGGGCCGACCCAGATACCGTGCTGATGTGTACTGACACATCACAAGGGTGTATTATTGATGTGTACTGACACACAGCACAAGGGCGTATTATTGCCCTGGCAGGGGAAGCCTCTGATGGGACTCGGGAATGCTCTCAGTTCTGGCGACCTCACAGAAAACCGAGTCTGGTTTCAGTCAATGAAGCCGTACAGAAACCCTGAGACCGTGAAAATGCTACCAGTGTGTTTGATTTTCCCTTTTCCCCAAATTACACTATTCTTGATTGAACTTTTAGCCTGTATCTGTCTAAAAGACTAAATCACAACATCTCCTCCTGTGAAATGATTAACGTGGAAAAATCTCAGTCTCGGCAGTTATATTACTGGATATTTTTATGTGGCTCCAAGAGCAATGTTTTCCATAGCAAGCCTCAGTGGCTGTGCAAACACATACACACTGCTCTGTTTCCGGTATCTGTACCCAATCGGGCAGGAAAAAGAAAAGGCCTTTTATATTCCCCCAGGGTCTAATCTAGTTCCTGGTTTTGACCTGATGCCTCCCGTAGAAGTCATCAAGATATTATTTAATGATCTTATGGCTGCTTGAGTTTAGGTAGCTCCAAAGGGTCCCCACATCAGACAGGAAAAGGCTTACGCCCAGTGTTACTTACTGGTAGAGATTCTTCACAGACTGTTCAGTGGTAGTCAGGCTGAAGTAGGGACCCTCTCTCTTCAAGTCATCGACCTCCCCTCGGCAGAAGCCTACCCGGGCAGGAAGCTCGAGTTGGACATTGTAAGACTCTTTGGGGCGGCTTCCAAAGAACTGAAGGCCATTGGAAGGGTAGAGAAAGAGGGCGTAGGTATCGGACTCATCAGATGCCAAGACTGCTTGGAAAGTGTTCCGCTATGAAAAACAAAAAGTAGGAAATATTCTTAATAAAAGAAACAGAAAAGAAAAACAAAACAGAATGCAGATGAAGGATCATAAAGTACACACGGTTTGCCCCCTTCTTAGGATTCCTCCAAATTGCTATATTCTTCTCAGTTTCCTCTCCAAGTTGTAACTTTGTAAGCTGTATTATCATAATTCTTTATCACTTAGGAAAACACTTGAAATGTCCATAGGTAAGAAACATGGGTTACAAAAATAATGTTTTTAAAGTTTCATATCCCTCTCACGCAAGCCTCTTTAAGAGCTAAGAGCGAAGTTAATACAAAATTAACCTGTAAATTCCTACAGCCGCTGGCCTAGTTCACTGCCCCCGGCACTCATGTGGATCACTCATCTATTCACTTGTTTATTCATTCACTCATTCATTCATTCACCTGTTTATTGAATGACTATGGTGGGCAGGCATGGTATTAGCCACTGGCTGATCTATAGGCTTCCTTACTGTTCTCACAGGCTTGTTCTCTTTTCTCTTTTCATCTGCCTTTTCACACCAGCACCCGAGTCAGCCTACTCTCACTTCAAAGATCAGGAAACAAGACTTGAGGGATAACAGATCTGCCTGAGGTCTGGGAGCTAGTACGTGACGGCAGGCCAGCCGGCTCCAGAGTCCATGCCCTGCACCACTAGGCCACCCTACCTACTCCTTCGCATGCCATTCAAGGTGGTTTGTAAGTGCCCTAAACTCTCCCCAGGTTTAGATCCCCTGCGCCTTCCTCAGACTATGCAATGTTCCCCACCTGTGTCACGTACTTTCGTGCTTCTGTGTTTTTGCTCATGTTCCCCCATGCCTGGAAACCTTCCTAACATTCTAATGCTGTACTTCTGAGGTATTTTGCGATTCCTTATAGATTTATTTCTGTTCTCTGACCATCCATAACACATTTGTGGGTGTTTCTGGTTAGCATTCACCTCATTTTGCCTAGTTAGCTATTTGTTTGTAAACTCCGCTATTAATTCACTTGCACATTAATTCAGCCAAGTGCCCACTATGTGCCTACAGAGCACTAGACATTATGCTTGGTGCTGAAGAAGCAAAGGAGCAAAGGAAGGGAGGGTCTGCTCAGGATATTCTCACTATTTCAGAGAGGGAACGGCCATGGCTGGAATTCCGGAGAATTACTGGAGAAGACTGTAGAGGCCAGAGGAGGCTGTGTGAGACCTCAGGGTTGGGCTGGGGAGGAGTCACAGAGGCGGCCTGTGAATGTTATAAACACAGGAAGGAGCCAAGGCAGACCAGAGTGAGAGACTGAATGAGCCCCACACCCAACCCCCAGGTCCTAATAGAATCACTTCTTCAAGTTCAATTTACTCTTGTATTTTCAGCCAGACACTTTTTGCCTTTACCTACATAAGGCTATCTCCACCCAACCCCAGATGATCTGTTAATGGTACTTCCTTATGTTAAAACGATGTTATATTTAGGACTTGGAGAAGGCTTCTCTCACTAAATCCCCCTCCTTTTACAATTTGGTAGGGAACTGGGAAGTATTTATAAATAACACTACTTTCTAAATAATGGGACTCTTATTTATGGGCAAGGAGTATAATTTCTCCATCTTGCTAGACAGATAAAAGCAGGCACAGAGAAGAACATCACATCTTAGTAAATCAAGGCAAACAAGAGGAAAGTGTCCTGTATTTCATTCTGTCCTGGGCCCTTCCCCATATGGGGACTCGTCTCCTAACGTTTAGTCTTCCTTTCACAAGCTTAAATTCAAAATATAGTTTTGAGGCTTTGCTTATAGGACAAAGCAATTTAGGTGTTAAAACGCTTTTTAAGAAAAAAATATCATACAACCTTTCTGTTTGTTCTCTAACAGAAAAACTTACCTTACTTTGCTTCCTTTTTTAAAAAGATTTTATTTTATTTTTTCAGTTTATTTATTTATTTTGAGAAAGAGAGACAGAGAGAGAGATAGGGGCAGAGACAGAGAGAGAAAATCCCAGTCAGGCTCTGCACTGTTAGCGCAGAGCCTGAGGCAGGGCTCGAACTCATGAACTGTGAGATCATCACCTGAGCCAAAATCAGAGTCGGACGCTTGACCGACTGAGTCACCCAGGTGCCCCTGTAAAGATTTTATTTTTTTATTTTTATTTTTTAAATGTTTTATTTCTTTCTGAGAGAGAGAGAGAGATAGTGTGAGCAGGGGAGGGTCAGAGAGAGAGGGAGACAGAATCTGAAACAGGCTCCAGGCTCTGAGCTAGCTGTCAGCACAGAGCCGGAAGCGGGGCTCGAACCCACGAACCGTGAGATCATGACCTGAGCTGAAGTCAGACGCCTGACAGAGCCACCCAGGCACCCCAAGATTTTATTTTTAAGTGATCTCTACACCCAACATAGGGCTCAAACTTATAACCCTGAGATCAAGAGTCACATGCTCTACTGACTGAGCCAGCCAGGCAGCCCTGCTTTCTTTCTTTAAGCTCAGACAATTAAAGATGGCAGAGGTGGAGTTGGCGGGGGGGGGGAGCACTGATGTATTTGTTATTTTTGTAGTTGTCGATTGTTTCATTAGCAAAGCTTGAGTGTTCTGAAAACAAAGGGCAGAGGATGCTTTCTAGAATGTCTCAAATCTAGGAAACCAGAACTTCTGCCGAATGTCAACAAAGTCATCATATCTATACATAATATATCCCACACCATCAATTAATGTTGATTCCGTAACTTCTGAGTACCCCATTTGTCAGAATCAACAATGTTCAGCTAGGGAAAGAAAAGTACTGGAGGAAGGAGAAAGGACCCGTTGTAATCATCTCAACTTTCAAAAAGCTCCTGGCATTGATTACCTACAGCAGATGTGAGAAAGGAAGATTCCTGGTTCTAAGTTTAGAGACATTTTGCAAGATAAGGTGGGGTGGGGGGTGTCTCTACAGACTGTGAGCGAACTGAAGGGAATGGGGGAAGAAGGGAGGGAGAAAGTAAACAGAGCTGTGAAGGGGAGTGTCTGGCTTTTACTGCAGGGCCTGGGAATTTAGCACTTTATTTTATTCATTCTTTCAATCAGTCAATAAATTCATTCCAATAAAAATTTATTCCATGCCTTTTATATGCCATCCCTAAGCCAAGCGCTGATTAAACAGGTGACAAGCATTTATTTCCTGTACTTGTCTCCACTGAAATAGGCAAATAGGAGGGTTTTAGATAGAATTTATGATCCCAAAGTACAGGCCAAAAGAGGTTGGCTGTTTAAAAACCACCCACACACCAAATGATCACTTTTAAAGCTCTCTGTCTCGGCTCCACAAAATTCTACATCTAATTGCTGAAGAGCACACTTCATGAAGTCCTGAAGGGGTCCTCCTCCCAAAGCACCCCTCGACTGGCTTCCAGACCGGGAAGGTCTTCACATCCCTGGAGACAAGAGCCTTTGCAAGAGCCCCACATGTTCTTTCTCTCAAGATATACCCTCAGATGGGCTGCCAAACCCCACAAAAGGGTCACTGGTTCCCAACTTCCTCAGGACCTCATGGAGGAGGGTGAGTCCTCTAAGGGAAGAGAGGCAGCACAGAGAGGATCAGGGCCAGCAGCTGTCTTGCTTCAAGGTTTGTGCCCTTCTGTTATCAGAAAGAGAGACAAGCCAGAGTCATCAACAGAAACCAGGCAGGGTCTGCCTCTCCCTTGCAGGTATGGGACATCACCAATCAGTGTTGACTTGACGCTGGGCAGAGCCACGCTGGTGGATATAAAACATGCCCCTCTGCAAGCTTCTGAGTTTGCAATCCATTTCATGGATTTCAGCCATCTGGCAAAAAATCAGAACAGCGCCAGCCAGCCTTGTCCCAAATTTGCCTATAGCAGCCCACAAAAATTACAGTGAAAGGGGCACCTGGGTGGCTCAGCTGGGGTTAAGCATCTGACTCTTGGTTTCGGCTCATGTCATGACCTTGTGATTTGCGAGTTCGAGCCCTGTATAGGGTTCTGCGCTCACTGTGCGGAGCCTGCTTGGGATTCTCTCTCTGCTCCTCTCTCTCTGCCCCTCCCCTGCTCTCTCTCACTCTGTCTCTCTCTCAAAAATAAATAAATAAAAACTTGGGGCGCCTGGGTGGCTCAGTTGGTTAAGTGTCTGACTTCAGCTCAGGTCATCATCTCATGGTTCGTGAGTTTGAGCCCCGCGTTGGACTCTGTGCTGACAGCTCGGAGCCTGGAGCCTGCTTCTGATTCTGTGTCTCCCTTTCTCTCTGCCCTTCCCTGACTCATACTCTGTCTGTCTGTCTCTCTCTCTCAAAAATAAACATTAAAATAAATAAATAAAAACTTACAAAAAATACAATGAAAATTAAGAAGTAGGATAACTCCCTGCAAGGGTCACAAAGTTCTCTTTCCTATCTTCCTTAGGGTCACATGTTCTCTACGTGGTGGCATCACTGACTTCTGGTCTCCCGTGTTTGGTGCAAGCACTAACCTCCACTCTTTAAGAGATTTCTCCATCTCCATGTACCTACACATCACCGTCACATGCAAGATCTCCCCTTGTTCATTTTTATGCCCTAAATCCTGCAGAGCCTGCCCCAAATTCAAAGATAAACTCTCTAGTCTCTAATGTGACATCCTCCCTGACTCTTAGTCTTTAGCAAACCTTCAGTATTTCATTAACCAATTTCCATATATGTCTCTGTTTAGTACATCTTCATAACTATATCTTTGACTCAGGTTAAACTCTTTCAGATAAAATGTCAGACTTCTCCTCTTCTGGGCTTCAGCTCCAGAAATCAACAAGCTACAAGAAAGTCCTGCTTTTACCTCTCATTTTCTCTGTGGAACCACCCCTTCCATCAACAACAATCATCCTGTGACACAAGTCAACACACCGCAGTCTCCAGACTGAGGCCTCCGACTTGCAACATTCTACTCATCTTGTGCGTCTGTCCCGTACCTCCCTTCACATCCACTCTCCGGGGTCAGGACAAGCCCCGCTCGGAACAATTTCTTCTGCTGCCTTATTCTCAAGATC